TTGGCTGCTTGTTTTGCCTCTCTTTCTGCCAGTTCATTTCCTTTTTCCAAATCCGAGTTCACCTTTTGGTGGGCCTTAACATGCATGATTGCCACTTTTCTTGGCAGTTGTACAGCTTCTAGCAGTTCCAGAATTTCCTTCCCATGTTTGATGTGTTTCCCTTGTGAGTTCAACAGTCCTCTTTCCTTACAGATTGCTCCATGAGTGTGGACTACCCCAAAGGCATACTTCGAGTCTGTGTCACTGTCTTGCCTTGGGCTAGTCCTAAAGCACGAGTCAGTGCGATTATCTCTGCCTTTTTTGCAGAGGTATTCAGAGGCAGTGGTCCTGATTGCAGTATTTCTTGGGTGGTAGTAACAGCATACCCAGCATACCTCCTGCCGCTCAAAACATAGCTGCTCCCATCTGTAAACCAGTTCTCAGCATCTTCCAGAGGGGCATCCTTCAGATCTGTGTGGCTTGAGTATGTTGCCTCGATGATCTCCAGGCAATCATGTTGCACTGGTTCTCCTGTGTTTCCAATCTGGAAGTCCCAAGGCTGGGGCTGACATCAGGGCCTTCTTTAGCAAGTCAAAGGCTTGTATAGCCTCCTTATTCCATTGGAGATTTTTCTGTTGAGTGGCGGTTAGTGCATATAAAGGTTTAACAAGCAATCCATAATTATAAATCCATAGTCTGCACCACCCAGTCATTCCCAGGAACGTTTGCAGTTCTTTCACTGTCTGTGGCCTCAAAGTCTGACAAATTGCTTCTTTCCGAGCTTGTCCTAAGGTTCTTTTTCCAGCACTGATTTCGTAGCCCAGATAGATCACTGCACCACTTGGGCCTTCTTTTTAGATACCCGGTAGCCCTGAAGTCCCAGAGAATTTACAAAGGCTTACCGTCTAGGTCACACAGGCCTCTTTTGTCTTGGTGGAAATTAGGATGTCGTCTACATACTGCAGCAGCTTTCCCTCCAGGTGGAGTTGGGGTTTCAAGGTCTTTGGCCAATTAGTTAGTGGGGCTGGTTTTAAATCCTTGTGGCAGCACCGTCCAGGTCAACTGGGTTTTACGTCCACTATTAGGATTTTCCCATTCAAATGTAAATATTTTCTGACTGGCTTCGAGGAGAGAGAGTCAAAAGAAAGCATCCTTGAGGTCTAAAACAGTAAAACAGATTAGCTCAGGAGTTAATTTTGTTTACAAAGCGTATGGGTTTGCACCACTGGGTGAAGATCTATTTATTAATCCTATTTGTAAAAATTTTTCTATAACTGGCTGGATCCCTTCCCGATCTTCCTTTTAAAGGGTATTGCTTAATTCTTACTAGTTGTTGTCCTTCCTTAAGTTTTACCTCTACGGGTGAGGCATTCTTTGCCCTTCCAGGCGTGTCAGTGGCCCACACTCCGGGATACACTTGATTGATAATTTCCTCACTGATTTCTCCTCCTGTGGGGATACTAGTTAGGGACAAGCTCATGATTTGTATAAGTTCTTGGTTATTTACCTCCAGAGTAATCTCTCCATTGTTAAAGGTAATGGTTGCTCCTAATTGTTCTAGTAAGTGTCTTCCTAGGAGCGCTTTTGTGGAGTAAGGCATATACAGAAATTTGTGTATGCCTAACTGCTTTCCCAGTTTATATTTCAAAGGTTTGCAAAAATAAGCCTTTTCACTTTGGCTAGTAGCTCCCTTATAATCTTTTTCCAGGGCAAGCACTAAAGGATCTTATGGTGGAACTAGTCCACAGTCCCTCTGACACCCCAGGTGATTTCGGAGGGTAAAGAACATGTCTGCATAAGACACCTCATCCTACTTCCCTTCCCTCTGTAAAAATAACATTAATTGCAAAAGCGTGTTATAGTCTAAGGTCCCATTTAGTGGTCATTTAGCTTCTTCTTCTAGTTTGTAAAGTGGCCACCACTGATTACAATATTTAATCAGGATTTTCTTGCTTTCTGTGCTTCCTCTCCCTGCTATGTCTTTCCAGTGCATGAGTATGCAATCCAATGGGTTTTGCTTTACAATTTTTCCCTGCTTATTTCCCATTATTATTCCTTCTTCCCAAAATCCTTTCTCTCCACTTATAGCAGTTTCTACACTGTCTTTTAACCTTCTCCCACTCTTCCTCCTTCACCTCCCAAAGTTCCGGTATCTTATGACTTCTTCCACACAATAATTATCGACTCCCGTCTTTCGACCGAGTGGTATAATGACACCTCTTTTTTCAGCACTCTGCACACCTCGACCTCCTCTTATCAGACGCATAATACCACTTACATCAACAATCTACGCACTCTGCTAATACCCAAGCTTGATGAAAATTACCAAAGGTAGGAGCCTAGGAGCACAGAGAAAGCAGGGGATTCTCCCACGAACCCAGTCTGGTACTACCAGTTGCCCAGAAGGAGCTGTGTACAATCCTTCTAGCAGGTATAAATCATTTCCCCGTGCCGACCATTCATTCCTTCTACACAAATAATCCAACCAAATCTAACCCAAACTGACAGAGAAGGGATTCACTTTCCCATCTCCGATTCATACAATGTTTTCACAAGACATACAAGGACAGTGTATTATTTAAACAGACATAAACTTCTCATTTGTCTTGCAGCAGCTGCCTCTCACTCACACAGCAGCGGCTGCTCTCACTCACACCCTGTCCATGCAGGCACACAGACACACAGACACACAGCAGCGGCTGCTCTCACTCACACCACGCAGGCACACAGACACTTAAAGGGCCCACCACACTTTCCACTCTTACCACAAAATATACCAAGTTTAAACAATCACCAAGTCCGTTTGTAACATATATCATAAACCGTTAACAATTAGCAGTCAGTTCAAAGCCAGTATATCCACAAATAGTGCACTATACAATGACCTGAAGCAAGATCCTGCAGGTGACGGTAATTACCAGTACCCTGCCCAAAATTCAAACTGCCTCTTATATACCAGTCATCGGTAGTTTGCCCCAAAAGATCTTACTCCTTTCCCGCAGATTCCCAAAACCAAAACCAAATGGGTATACCCCCTCCTCGGGACTGAGCTGTGCGCCAGATGTCTCTGTGTGTCTTACCAGCAGCCCATTACCCTTGTAAACGTACCTCTGTCCGTGAACCAGATGGTCCTTGTCTGCCCCCGCAGTGGACAGCTGGGAGCGGAGTTCCTCCGAGAAGAGCTTGGGGTGCACCTAGGACGTCCACCCTCCAGCAGTGTCCCGGCAGCTGAGCAGAGATGGTCCCATCTGGGGTGCCAAGATGACTTGCGGAGAAATCACTATAACTGTGGAGTTATAAAGTGGGTATGTTTATTCAGCGCTGGGCGCATGGGGGATTGCTCCACCACAAGCATGCGCATCGTTTGCAGCTCCCGTCCGGCTTATATGTTATAAAGTAGTGCATATTCATAAAACGCCTATACATATACATAGTCTACGCCTGCCTCTCCTCGCTTCTCATGGTAATCAGGTCTCCTCCTCTTGCACCTGCGCAATGAGCTCTTCAACTCCGGGCTGGGGTCGCAACTTCCTGGGGAGGGGTCGTATAGATGAAGTACCTCTTCTTCCTCGCTGATGAACTTTTCACCCTGTCGCTCTGCGCAGCCTCAGTTGTTCTCTGGCTTCTGTCCAGATTGCCAGGCCAGTTTGTGCTGCTGTTTGGGATAGTCTGTTGCTGATACCCACAACTTCAAGGACTAGGGGAGACTTCTCTTTGGGCTAGGAGATAGTAGCCTAGCAACGTTATCAGCATCTGGAATGTCTTTGCGACCAGTCCCATACGCCTCCCTTTGTTTTTGCACAGGCCTTGCACCATCAATCTAAGATTGTTTAGACTCCCCGTCTCAATACCTTAATTTCTTGAGTGCCTAATTACTATATCCTATTTTAATTTCCTAGCTCCTCATCTCACTGCATGCTGTGGAAAGCAGGATGCTCAACATGACCTGTTAGGTCAATAATACCTGCTGGGTACAAAGATGTGACTCCTGCATAGGCAGAGCTTTTGTGAAAGCTGGCATGCAGATGTGAGCAAGCAATGCAGGTGTGCACAAGGATTTGGATATGCACATAAAACGTGCTGGACTGCCTCCATGCACCCTTTTAGGGTGTGCTTTTCTGCATTTGTGCCCTTGTGTTTGTATCCAGCCATGTCTCCGTGTACATATGCAGATGCCCAGTTTGTGCCTGTAGCAGTGTACCGCGGAAAGCCAGGTGTGAATTCATTGATGCAATTTCAACCTTGTTTCAAGTGGGATCTGAATCTTGGAGGTGGCTGGGGAGGGTGCATGGGCTCTGCACGCTGGTGAGCTCATCTTTTCATTGTGGGAAGTGAGGGAAACTGGGTGGCACATCACAGCCCGAGTTTCTTCACGTATTTCCTGTACACGCTCTGCTGACAGATGGGAAAGGCTGGAGGACAGGGTTCCCCTGGGCAGCAGCATGGTTACACAGAGCTGCCTGCTTGCCAGCATGAGTGTGGTTAGAAACATGACAGCTGTGGCATAAACAGACCTGGAGCTCCGTGGTTCCCTGGTTGAAATTTAGCAGCATGGCTAGTTTCCCGGATTGACCAAAAGGTGAGGAAAATCTTAAAAATAAACCCCACAACAAATCCTTGTCCTGTCTCCCCCTCACCCTAAACCCAGCACTGGTGCATTTAATGTCTCTGTGCCTTCAGCTCCTGAACCGCTTCTGAGCACATGTAAATACAGTTGTCTGTGTGTGTAAGCGTGGTCTATATATGTGAAACTCGATGAGAGCACTTTTCTCGTGACCTCTCTGCTGTGTGCTGGAAAAAAAAGTCACCAAAACCCCCAGCAACTTCCTGCAAGTGGATGAAATGCTGCCGGGGCTGCTCCTTCCTGGGAGGGGACAGCATATACTCGCAGACTTTTCTGGGAAGCAAATACTTACTCTCTGGGGATACTTGCTGGGAAGCAGCAGTGAAGAGCAGCTGCTGAGAACAGCTGCTCCCTGGCTTTGAAGGCATTTCCAGCAGTGTCTGGGTGTCTGGCGGGGTGGGGGGACCCCTGCCTCGCCTTCCCGTGGCAGGTGGCAATGGCAGTGGGTGACGGGCAGGCCTGCATGACTTTGCACATTGGCTGGCGCCCGTGGTGCGCAGACGCGAAGCAGTTCCTGGCCAAAAGTCAGTGGGATGGGACAGAAACGTATAAACATTTCATAGGGCAGGGAGCTTGCGGCTCTGCTACTCAGCGGAAAAGGAGGAGGAAGGTACGCAGCCCCTGCCTTCCCCCTCCCCGGGCTTCTGCCTTCCCAACGAGGGTGAGGAATTGAGCCCCACCATGCCTAGGGGATGCTGTGCTGCTTTTCCAGACAGGAAAGTAACATTTTCTTTTTTTCGTATGTGGCAAAAGGCATGTAAGTTACTGTGAGAAAATTAAATGCATCTAAATCAATGAAATAAGGTATTCATTTCTTGCTGGGCAGGGGGAGAAAATGGTCCTTGGCTTTCCTTAAGGTAAATTCATGTGAAGTTATAATTTGGCTTATACCTTAAGACTTCTCTATTTTCTGATTTATTTAGATAATTTATTTTCAATTCAGCTTGTCAGATGGTGAGTCCTGAAAGCACTGGTCACTTGAACCAGCCTTTGCAGTCAGGAAAATGGGTATTGGAGTTCCAGCTTTTCTGTATACTAGATAGATATAGATGGATCAGGTCCTACCTCATTAACCTCTTAATGTTGTGTAAAGCTTAGGAAAGGCTGCTGGTCAGGTAGGGTCTCCTAATTGCCTATGGCAGGGGTTCTCAACCTTTTCTTCACCACAGACCCCCTTCAAAGACCTTTTGTGTCCACAGACCATCAAGACTTAATTCAATATTTAAAGCATTAGACTGTATCAAATATTTATTTCAATTTTCTTATGAAGGATCTTCAAATTTGGAGAGAAGGTAAGTTAATCTGTTGATGCACACACATAATATCTTTATTGCAATGATTCCATATGAATTTAAAATAATAGCATCAACACTCTTCTTGCTCAAATGGCCATTTTATACTATTTTAATGTGCTGATTCTGAATTTTATGCCAATTTTTACATTATAATTTGATGAAAAGTTTTTACAGTTCTTCTTACCTCCCCCCTTGTTTCTCTGTGTCCAGTCACCATATATTGTTGTTTACGGGTCCAGGCCCATCACTTGGAGGAACAGACTTCAGGTCTGTTGTGGCCCTAAAGAGGGCTGTTGGGTGAAAAAAATGTCTTTAAGAAAAAACCCACCTAGTTAAAGTGGGTCCCACTAACCATACCAGCACTGAATATACTGGCCTGTCAGGGCAGGCGGGGATGGGGGCTTGAGTATGAGGGGAGTGTTGAGCATAGGGGGATGTAGGAAGAGGAGGCGCAGTGCCTGTGGGCCAGACCAAATGTTTCTGGGCTATACATTCCCCACCCCTGCTTTAAGCCTTTGCAGAGCCCCTCTGACTACATCACGTCCCCCCCCCGCCCCCAGTTGGTGGACCACAGGTTGAGAACCGCTGGCTTTCTGTCTCATTCCAGGTATCTGATCAGGGACTTTTAAGGACTCTGTGTGTGGCTGCCATCCAAAACTGAAGGGGAATGCCCATCTCTGCCTGCCTGCTGCGTTCTCCATCTGAAAACATAACTGGGGCCTGGCTTATTAGGTAACTTGTAATACATCTGAGATAACATTAACAGCAGGAACACCCTGGGTTCTCCCTCGTCCCCTCACTCAGACACCCCAGGGGGATAGCTGCCTGGGCTGCAGTTAGTGCTATGCCCAGGCAAGCAAACATGAGATGTACATATGTCTGGGTACATGCTAAAGCTGTGCTTCTGGCCAAGCTTTAGCTCTCTCAGCTGGCACTGGCACTGCTGTCCTTAGTTGCCCCTCACATAGGCCTGCAGGAGATCAAATGTAAATGGCAAGGTTTCACAGTCAAATAAAACAAGATTTTTTTGTTTATTAACTAGGTGAAGACCATGAAGTCCTTAAAATAGCAGCCTTTCATACCTAGTGTGTTTCCTCAATCAAACCCAGAGCATCCCCCACAACAAAGACACTGAGTATTGCACCTCTCCCATCCTCTGGTGGGATCCCTGGGCTGGGTGAGGAACGTTGGAGGTACGGAGCCCTCCCTCTGGCCATCATGGAGCCCACAGCTCACAGCCAGCAGAATGAATCTACTGCTTCCAGCGTGGAGACAGCAGAAGACCTTGCCTTTGAGTTAAATGCTGCTGTGAGGGACAACAGTATAAAAGGTGTGCTGGAGCTGCTGGAGAGAGGTGCAGATGTGAACTCCAAAGCAGGAGGTGGCTGGACACCATTGCAGAGCGCCGTGCAAGCTAATAATGAGGACCTGGTCCGGCTTCTGCTGGACAAGGGTGCTTGTCCATATGCCAGGAAGGACAATGGTGGCACTGCGTTTACTGAGGCAGCGATAGTGGGAAATGTGAATATACTGGAGCTCCTCCTTGATCATGGGTTAAATATTAATGACCATGACAACAACGGCTTCACAGCTTTCATGGAGGCTGCATGGTATGGGAGGGAGGAAGCCTTGAAATTCCTGTATAGCAAAGGAGCAAATGTGAATTTGAGGAGGGCAGTTAGTGAGGAGAGAGCAAAACTGTGTAAAGGAGGTGCAACAGCACTGATGGATGCTTGTAGGGAGGGCCACTTCTCAGCTGTAAAAACTCTTGTCCAAGAGATGGGGGCTGATGTTAACATTTGTGACAATCGAGGTAGGAATGCCTTGATCCATGCCCTCAAGAAGGGCTGTGCCAAGGAAAGCTACAAGTCAGCTGTCTCCATAGGCCATTTCCTGATGGACTGTGGTGTTGATGTGAACTGTAAAGATGAATGTGGGAAAACTGCCCTCATCCTAGCTGTTGAAATGCAGAGCCCAGATTTGGTGGAAGCTTTACTGGAGAAGGGTGAAATAGATATTGAGGATGCAGATGAGGAGGGCAACACAGCACTGATGGTGGCTGTAGAGAAAAACGACTGCAACATAGCAAAGTTGTTGTGTGAAAAAGGAGCAAGGACTGATGATGGGAACCTTATTGCTGTTGCGAATAGGAAACGTGCTCATAACATGGCATGTCTTCTTCGCCATTATAATGCCAAGTTTGTTCCAGAAAACCCTGAAGACTGGGAGCCAAAGAGCAAACGCTGGAGGGACCAGCTGAAAAACCTTTATAAAATATATCACCTTATGATTGGCAATCTGAAGATATTTCAGTGCATCGAGCAGAGAATTCAGAACACTTCCCAGGGTGGCATCTACCTGGGTCTCCACAGTGGGACGGAGGTAGCAGTAAGAATAAGCCTCAGTACAGAGGGTGATAAAGAGAAAAGGTTCTTTGAACAGTGTTGTAACTGTGAACATTTAATGAAGCTCTTTTCATTTGAGAAGGCAAGAGGCTACATGTACTTGTGCTTCCCCCTCTGGGAGAAAAACCTTGAAGAACATCTGCAGGAACCAGAAAACCAAATGGATTACAAAGATGGTTTGAGGATGATCTTCCAGGCATTGAGAGAGCTGCACTCCCTTGGATTTGCTCACCAGGATCTGCATCCCAGGAACTTTTTCATAGGTCATCTTTTGCTTTTTCAGTGTTTTAATTTTGCCTTCCTGTTGTCTGTAGGTTAGAGAAAAAGATGCTTCATATATGTCTGTAAAAAAACCCATATATGAAACAGCAGTGCAGATGTCCTTATGCAGAATGAGGTATCTGTGACATTAGCTCTTCACTGAATAAGTATAGATACGTTCACAGACAGCCACAGAGAAATAAACAGAACAACTTTATGTGTGTCATTAGATCTGCCCTCCTTTCCAGGGCTTTTCAGACCAGATCAACCCACAGCAGATTCCTTCAGAGATTTGTTGTCTAAAGAAGGGGCCATCCAGAAGTCAGTGACAGACTGAATAATGGTTTTCCACCATTATTTATTAACAATTTCTCTTATTTCCTCAGATTTAGGTGGCAAAATTTACTTGGCGGACTTTGATAATAGAAGGACATTGATTGAAGGCAAAAAAGAACTTGTAAACTCAGATTTAGAGGTAACTTACCTGCAAATCAATGTATGGTTTAAAATTTCAGGGACTTTCTGGTATTTTCTGTTGCTGTGAATCCTAGGGGAAGCGTTTCTGCATCCTCAGCTAGAAAACACCCTGATTTTTGAGAAAGCCCATATAACAATAGAAGCTGCATAAGAGTAATAGTGATTAGGATGCAAGGCTGTGGCTGGCACTGGGATATCCACAGATACCTCGAGCATGATTATGGTGCTGGTCTCCTCTGTCCTTGTGCACACAGCTTCAAAGTTTGTTTTTGTCTGGTTTTGTATACTTCTGCACACCTATAGGTCCATGTGTGTGTCCACATACACAGTTTACTCATTTAGGAGTACTAGTCCTCTTCCACTTGGTAAACAGTTTCACACGTCTGGCACATGAGCAGCGATGTGTTTCTTTGCAGGCCCTCGGCAGGCTCATGCTGTATGTTTTAACACGGGGTAAGAAACCCCTTCAGCAAGTCAGTGTTGAGGATTTGGCTGCTGACTCTCCAGATTACAATGAGGCTCTGGACCTTGTAAATAGCCTAGTCTCTCATGATGAACGAGGCTTGGAAGGTTTGAGCAAACACCCCTTTTTCTGGAGCAAACAGACGTAAGTCCTGGGAGTACAAAGGAAAAGCTTTCAGTACGGGATTTGCCTGTAGTGCTGGGAACAGTGATGTCCTGTTGCAACTAACAAAGTCCTCGTTCCACAGCAGGTTCAGGTTCCTGAAGAACATATGGAATAAAATCAAAGTTCTCCACAATGAAAAAGCTGTCTTTCAAGCTCCTAATGTTGCTGAAAGTTTTCCTTATCCATGGTGGACCAAGGAGGTAATCCTCTTCTCTTTGGACTGATAGGAGGTTTGAGCTAGATGTTTAGGCAGAAGCTTTTCCTGAGTGTTTCACAGGTCCTGTTTAAAATCGTAACTGGAAAATGTAGCCTCACACAAATACAGATGACTGGAGGAAATAAATCTAAGCCACGCAGTCAAAATACACCACACTAAAGACATTGATGCTAAATGGAGCTCTGTTGACTGGGGTGGTAGTAGGGAATGGTCGTTATAGAATTAGTTGGCAAACCCTCAAGGGTTTGTGGGTGACCCCTTAAGACAAAGACCTCTAGCCCTTGCTACCAGCAAATTTCTGGCAAGTGTTTCGTTAGGTTGACTCAAAATCCATGAGACCAGGCCTGCTTTTGCAGGTGGCAGCCTGCAAAGATGTGCTGCATTATTTGAGATCTGACAATCTTGGTTCAGTATGGCAGTATGGTTCAGTATGGCGCATGATCCTCTCAGCAATGGCACAGATGGATCAAGATTCCCTGAGTCCCTCCTGACCTCCAGGCATGCATGAAAATCTCCTATGCCATGCTCACAGTCTTAATAGGAATGCCATGCCTTGGCAAGGCAGGAGAGAAAACACTTAGCAGAATCAGAGGGTCCGTATGGTGCATGCCCTGCAGAACGAACTCTGCTCATGTTTGGAAATACACTTTTAAGGGTCACAACACTTATCCATGCAAGATGATTGTCCCCACAGAAAGGCAGTGGCTATGGTGAGTGGAGATAGATATGCTATGTTCATAGTGTGTGAAAAGAAGAGAATAATCTACATGTTTTTTTTCAGATTGACAGAATGGTTCTGAATATTATGGAGAAACATAGGAAAGCAAAGCCATATACCAATGATGTCACTGACCTACTGAGGCTCATCAGAAACCTGGATGAACACCCAAATATCAGGTACATGTTCACATCCTTGCCCTGCCATAGTTGCATTGCAGGGAGCATCTGGGTATGTGCAAGTGTTAGTGAATTTGAGAGCAAAATCTTCTTCAGATGGTTCTTCAGAAGGGCAAGCACAACCAGGGTGTAGGAGAAAGTCTGTTAAAGCTCATCTCATTAGAGGGGCTATCTCCTCTGGCAGTACAATACTTGTGAAATATTGTGTGTTGTGGCAGCAAGCAGTTTGGAGTCAGACCTCAAAATCACCTTCCTGAGGGTAGAAAAAAGAAGTTAGTTCACAGGATTAGACCTCAGATTTTGAAGTAAAATCTGACTCTCAAATCAGCTCCCTCTGCACCCATGCCTTTGCAGAGCCAGCCTGTGGGGCGGAGAGGTGTCTGCAACAGCTACAGCAAGTCCTGGCTCTACAGCAGAGGACACCTTGAATGAACATGTTTTTCTGGGGTGTTATTTTTGCTGCAGGCTGGTGTTTAAGATGGGGATCAGGAAGCACTGGACCTGTTAGAAGATCCTGTTAGGAGGTCTTGACTCCTAAGGAGCTGCCAGAGTCTCCAGCCCTCTACAGTCATGGGCTACATGTGAGGTTAGAGATGGTGTTAACTCCTAGGGATGGTTTTGCTGACACTGGTGGCCAGCACTGCTCTTCAGTGAAGATGCAGGTGGGATTAGGCAGATGAAGGTGTTAGAGGAATAGCAAAAAAAATGAATTGAGGATCTTAGGGAATGTATAGAAAAGTTGCAGCTCAAGGATTTCTAGGAAACCTTCCTGTGTTATCAGACAGCCTCTGGAATGGCTTTTCTCTGCAGGAGAGGAACCAGGACATCCTGAACACTTGACTTCTCAGGCAAGCTTTAAAAAGAGATTTTGGTTTTGTTCTCTTTCAGGATCAGCAACAGAATAGGAGACCATGCTGAGTATTTCTTGAAGCTTTTTCCAGCACTTACCATTTATGTCTATAACAGTTTATACCAGAATCCCAAATACAGTCACCTTGCAGACATTCAGGACCCTTCTCTGTAGGATGTCATCGCCTCCTGTCCCATGTCCGATCCCACCATCACCACCTCCTTTTATTCGCTATTTCATCATCTGCAAAAGAGTTGAAGAAAGTGGGTAAGGAGGAGGGAGACAGTACATGCAGAGACAGAGCACGGAGGACTTAGACTAAAATGAAAGATGCTTCAGAAGTGTTTGGTGTAGCAACCATGGGCTTTGGAGAGGAACCAAGTTGAGTGCCAGCCCAGGTCCCCCTTTGACTACCTCTGTCCCTCTGGCTTTACCTGCCTCTGTGAGGTGGTGTGAGAGACGAGAAACCAGGCCTGTGAGAAACTAAGACAAACAATCTGGGAAAGCAAAAGTTGAGGCTGATTGAAGAAATGCCTCAAACACTCACAAGACAAAACTATGAGTCACAGGGTGTGTTCTGTGGAGGCCGAAGCTGATAACGCTGCCCGATGTAGCTGGGGGAGAGAGCCCTGTGGAGACAGGACGGCTCCGCTCTGGGGCACCTGGGCAAATTTCAAGGGCCATGTGCCCGGTGAATTAACTTTGCTTCATTATCCACTAAATGCATATTAATGTTAACACCCCTCAATATGCTAATGAGGGCTGACACGATCATGCTAATTACATCATCCCACGAAACACCTTACCCCTCCCCGTACATAGGATACGTAGCTATGTGGGTCGACCTAGGGGACGGACCAAAGGAAAGTGGGTATAAATCAAAGGGGGAAAGAAAGGGCTCGCTCTCTCTCTCTACCCCTCTCCCTGCCCTCCCTCTGCCCCCCCGCCCCGGCCGTCTGGAGAGAGCACTGAAGTGAAGAAGATAGATGTCAGCAAAACAGACAGCCACCTCCTGGAACCCTCGCCGGCAGGATGAGCACAGGAACCCAGACTGGTGATCTCTATTCCCCCATTCCCTCTATCTCCCTCTTTTCCTTTTTCCATTAAGAAATGCTAAGGCATAGTATATTGCTTGCCACAACTTGCTATGTACTTAGCCAATTATCGTGTGTTCAATTAGTACATTGTAGGTAGTTAACAAATGAACTTGGAGACTTGTTGTCCGCTCCAATTGGGGATTTGCGAATCTGAGTCACTTGTCCCCCTTGTCTGAGCGGGACGTGATAGGTGGAGGTCAAGGTCCTGATCCTAATAGAAAGCAGGGAGATGTGGGACAGCCCCCATATACCAAACACACCTGGGAGCTAGGAGAGAAGCTCAGGCATTGACAAATAACATGGGACTCCCTGATGAAGTAAAAGGAGTTTGAGCTCCTTGCTAGGACCAGCTTGCACTGATGAGCTCTACCTCTTCAATCTTTTTGAAACACAGCAGCCAGAAAATAAGATGCCTAGGCAATGGTCTGGTCCCTCTGATCTGGTAGAGGCACACTCAGGCCAGCCTGTTGGGACCTGAAGGACTTCTTTTGGGGAACACAGGAGATGTTTCCACAAGGAATGGATATAAGGAGCATGATCCCACAGAACTCTGCTACTGTGAATAGTCCTAACTCACCTGAAAAAGGTCACTGACGTCAAAGGGACTGTAGGGAACAGTTTCTGCCAGGAAGGAAAAGCTCTGCTGTGGCAGGCTGCATCTGCAAGGCAGGACTATGCACAAGCACTCCTGTCTCCAAAACAGTGCCACTGTTGGTGCATCACCGTGCTCCTGCCAGACTCAGCTCCCTTGCACAGAGATGTAGCATGCAGCCAGCTCAGAGCTTCAGTACTAAAGGCTGGGTGTCACAAACCCATTTCTGAAATCCTGCAGCATGCAATGTGTGTCTGATTGTCCAAGGGATTGCTTGTTTCTCAGCTAACGCTCTGATTTTCACCATGATTATATGTAGCTTATGGAAATATTTTGCAGCTTTTGAAAGGATTTTTTTTTTTTTTTCAAACTGAGATTGTTATTCTTTCAATTACCCTATGGAAAACCAAACTTGGAATAAACTTGCCTGGAAAACTGACTCTAGACTCATTTATGAATGAGGTTCCCCCATCCCCTCTGCACAGAAAGAGATAGTGTGCAGCACTATAAAATGCTCAAAAGGCTGGGACTTTTCACCTCCTTGTGGAGGTGCCTCTTGGTTGTTTAGGTAAGGTGGTGGATGTTTTTGTCACTATCCAGATGAATTGATTCTGGCCCATATGGATATCTGATGGGAAAAGGTGTTGGAAAGTACTGAAGGCTTCCTGTCCTTGGAAGCAAGCTGGCTCTTGTGAAATAATGGGCTGGGTGGTGGGGTTTTTTGCATTGTTTTTGTGGAGTGAGGGTGAGGATTTTGTGGATGAGTTCCCATGCAAAGATGAGCATCAATACTTGCATGTGTGCTTTTGCAAACAGGTAAACTCTGGTAGTGGATGTGTTTGACCCACCTCCTCTACAAATGAAAGGTTGGACCAGATGATCCTTGAGGTCCCTTCCAACCTGGTATACTATGATTTTATGAAATAGGTTGTGGCAACTGAGGCACAGACTCTCCATTGAAGTGCAAAAGGAAAGACACTTTATTATTACAATAGTACATACTTATGCTCTCACCAAAGCTCTTAATTCATAAATAGCAAATCAGCAATTAGACAGCTATCAATCCTTTCTCCTGTCAGCATAAGAACACTCTAACATGCGCTGTGCAGACCAATCACCTTCTTGTTCACGTGCTGTTCACGCGGCGGTAACTTCTCACAGTTTAGTACTTTTCCACAGTTCAGTGTTGCAGCTGTCCGTTGTTTTTCCCTGACACCTTGGCACAACTTAACAGCTTCTTGTCTATCTTCCAAGGCCTGTTTTCCATCAAAGCCTAGCAGTTTCTCAGAGTCTGTGTTGGGCTGACAGGCCTATGCCTCCTACAATAGGTGGCTGGCAGAATGCATCATTGCACATCTGGTTAGCTGTGTGTGCTTATAGAGGTATGTACCTGCAAACCAACAGGCATTGCTGTGCATGAGTTTGATTGCAGACTTCCATGCATGTGCTCATGGCTCATGATGTCAGTCTGCCAGCCTGCATCAGTGGTCCTGGATCAGAGCAAAGGTCCATCTGATGGCCTTGGGAACGTTCAGAAATGCATAAATGTAAGAAGAAAGCCTCACTATGCAACTCTTGGTGAGGTGCCATTAGAGAAAATGCAACCAGGAGAATGCTGACAACTCTTATGTCAATATTTTTATTTTTTCTTTTCCTCACTGGTCATTTTTTTCTTGCTCAAGGTGTCTTCCTCGTGCCCAGAAAGCAGGATGACACCCATAGATGCATGTCCAGGTCTCAGCAGTGTAGGGAGCAGGGGTGATATTGGGATCATGGTGACTCCATGCCACAGCAGCACATTTCTACTCTTGCACAAGGAGAGGTGAGGCCATGGGCTGAACACCATGTTTCCAGCTTGCTTTGACCTTTGTTTCCCCTTTCATCACTCTACTGTTGTGCTAAAGGGCTGTGACCTGAGAGAAAGGCCTTTCTGGAAGCAGAGCACATTCAAGGATGTCCAAACCAGAGCAATGATTTTACCTGTGGAGGCTGTGATTTGTCTCTCTGGGGCAGCCAGGCTCTGGGAAGAATTTCTAGGGAAGGCTTGTGTGGTCCGCAGGGCCATGTCCTGCTTTCCGAGAAGCCAGAGGTGCCAGAAGGCTGGTGTTAGAGGAGAAACTTGATCCATGCACGGCATCTGCAAAGGTTATTATTCACAGACCGTCAGGCCACAAGAAGAGGAGGGGATGCAGGACTAGGACCAACACAGGGGAAAAGGCTAGGCTTCCCCTCCTCCTCACACAGTTGGGGAGGATGGGTGAGCACTCAGCGAGAGGCCAGGCAGGATGGAAAACCAGTGGCAAAGACAGCTGGACAGTATTGCAACTGGGTAGTATGGCAGTGCCTGATGTCACAGCCTGGGAATAAAGGTGTCCTGGGGAGCCAGGGGCAGAGCCAGCTGCCAGAGTTAGTATTGCTTGATGCGCTGATGGCTCCCAGCATCAGTGCAGACCATGCATGGTGTGCAAGGGCACGCTGATTTGGCCCTACATGCTTCATTCCCCTGTTGTCATGCCTGTACATTGTGTATTTGCTGTGCCTCTGCTTTTTTCCCCTGCTCCTGCTGGATGACCCCAGTGGCAACTGGCTCAACCCACTGTGCTGGGATCAGGTGCTCCCCATTCTAACACTTGCATGCTGAGGACATGCTGCTGTGCACAGGGATGGCACCAGGTCAACATGTCTTGTCTGCTGCACTGGGGAAAAAAAAAATCACCTGCAGTAGTGAAGATCGCCCTTAGCCGCAGTTTTGCTGTGTTGAGACTAAGGAACATCCATGAAGTCTTTCAGGGACTGGGCTCAGCTGGGCTTAGACTGCAGAGCCTGAAGTGTTAGTGCAAAGCACAGAAAAACGCAGCTAGCTTTTGGGACTGAAAGCTTTTGGTGCAAAATCAAGGGGCAACTTTGAGGAGCTGGTCACAGTTCAGGTTGTAAGAGTGGCATCAGCTTCTTAAATTCTTCATTTATAGAAATGTTCTTGGACCTTGGCTTTGTTTGTTTTTTTGATCCTCCAGAAGCAAAGTGATGATAATCATAACTGATAAATATGAAACATATTGTCTTCCACCTTAAATGCACCTGGGTTATTCCCAGGATGCAGTCTTCCAGGATCTGAGGGTTAAAAAGTAGCTAAAACCAGCTCAAAATTACACAGCTGAGAGCTTGTGAGGGAGCTGTCAGAGGCAAGGTGTGACAAAGGCCATGGTCTTTTCTTCATGAGGTCCAAAGAACATTTTGGATTTCTGCAGCTTCCTGGTGAGTTGGCAGAGCCAGTCTGACAGTTTCACCTGGGGAAAATGAAGGTCTTTGATGATATGATTTGGTTAGTGCTTTGCAAACATACTGACTTTTAAAAAAACATGCCAAGGCCCCCAAGTCAGGCATCAGCTGCTTTTGACTGGAAAATCAGAGAGGCTCTGGAAAGACAGGCACCATTTCACCACCTAGGGACAGCTGAGTAGTAAACCAGGTGGGCCCTCTTAGCCTGGCCATCCACAGAAGGTGTTTAATTTGTGTGGACAGTGTGGTGGAGGAGCTGAGATGAGGCTGTGAGTCATACTGAGCAGAGGAAGGCAATCCTAGCTCTTGGTGAGACAGTATGGCTCCCTGTGTGGTGGGCTGGAGCTTCTAGGGTTGGGTGGTCTTTGAGGAGCCCTTTCCTCAGACAAAGTATTTACTGTGACTGCTTTCTGGTTTTAAGCACCTTTCAAATTTCTTGGGAAAGACCTCAAAGGTGATATTGTGCTGTGCACCCAGTGTGATTTATTTACACTGTGGCTGAGTCCCAGCTATGGGCAATGCAGTCTTTTGCAGATATGTGTGAGGAAGGATCCTGTTGTCTTCAGGGATGCCTCCTTGGGTGGAAACATGTGTTGTGGCATGTCTCTGAAGTAGCTGCAGTGGTGCAGCTGCTGTGTTATGTTACCAGGCAAGCTGGAGGATGCTGTGAGGTGCTTTACTTTTAGTTCTTACTGCTGATTAAGTGTAAACTGTGCAGTGTGTCTGAGCTGCTCAGCTTCCTTGGAGTACACCCCTGTCCTGCTCAGTGTGGATGGTGTGTTGGGTGGTCTGGTCTTCCCTTGGTGCCTCTGCAGGGAAGGGAGAGATGTTGCCTCAGTGACTGCTGCTGATGGAGGCAGAGTGCAGGAGACTGGGGACAAACACTGTAGCTGTGTGCTCCTGCGGTGGTGTTCAGGGCATGGAGAGGTGCAGCAACTGGGGATTTTCTGTGAATGTTACTGGAGATGGTGGGGGTTACCAGCACCCTGCACAGACGCACTCACTTTGCCTTTGGGTTTTAAGGGGAGTCATAGCTCTACTGCTCTAGGTGCTTGTGTTGATGTGGTTTGGGGGAGGTAGACTGCTTCTGTGACCACCTACCTGCCCTGCAGGACAGGAGGCAAACTTGCTGATTGAGAGCCTTCTCTCACAACTTTTGTCTGAATCTGAGAAAAACATGTACAAGCTTCCTATCATGGACTGATGCAGGGAGCCCTACAGCCCAGCTCCCACCCCAGCAGCTGGAGTTCCCCTTGAGAGCAGGAATACTCTTTCAGCACTGGCTCACCTTTTTGCTCCTCCACTGGCTTTGTTTTCTTCTGGGGCTTTGGCAGCAGGATCTGGATGCCTTTCAGGAGCATAGAGACAACGATGGTGTGATTGCCTGGTGAGGGAGAAGAGATGAAGTGGTATGGTGTGGCAAGCACTCTGATGGCAAATGAGGGAGGACAGCAGGACGTGTTGTCCCCTTTG